ATGTATTTAGCAGAAGTGGAGGGTTCAGGCCCCAGAAGGTACCAGTGAGAGAACGGAGGAGATGAAGACGCCGAGAAACCTTAGCAGAAAGTGCAGATAGGTATGGCTTCCAAGTAAGATGCCTTTCAAAGACAATGCCAAGATTGGTCACGGAGTCAGAAAGAGGGATCGGGACATTGTCGACTCGGACATCAAACAGAGACAGGTCACGGCAAGGGCGAAACTTACGACGTGTTGGACCACAAAGAATAGCTCGTGTCTTAGGGACATTGTGGGATAGACGCCAGCAGCGACACCAATACAAAAAAGAATTTACAGCAGCCTGGAGTAGCTTATTCAGTGTGGACATCTTGGAACAATGGGCTACCAAAGCTGTGTCATCAGCATATTGAAACAACTGGAGAGAAGGCTGGGGACAAGGCATATCAGCAACATAGAGAGTGTACAGAAGGGGAGACAACACAAAGCCTTGTAGGACTTCAGTATGTAGTATGAAAGTGCAAGAGAGAATCCCATCAATATATATAGCGTCGCGCCACCTGTGTAGAAAAGAGGAGATGAGACGAATATGGGGAATAGGAAAGTGTAACATATGCAGTTTGTGGAGTAAACCTTGATGCCAAAATGAGTCAAAAGCATGCCGGAAATCAAACAGGAGCATGCAGGAGGGTTTTGGATTGTTGAAATGATTGGAAAATGAGTCACACAATTTGAGAAGTTGATCCAAAGTAGAAAGGCGTGGGCGAAATCCCGCCTGTGTATGAGGCAGCAGGTTGTGAGAAGCTAAGAACTGATTAAGCCGGGCAACAAGGATGCGTTCAAAGGTTTTACTGAAAACACTAGTGAGGCTCATAGGACGATAAGAATTAACATCAGAGGCAGGTTTACCCGGTTTCAGAAAAAGCAGAATAGTGGATAACTTCCAGAAACCAGGAAAATATCCTGAGGAAAGAAGAAAGGTGTAGAACAATGCAAGAAGTCGAAAGAATTGCATAGAAGCATGACGGACTTGGCAATAAGTGATGCCATCACGACCAGACGCAAGTTACGTCTGTTCTTCAGCACCCGCCGGATATCAGTTGCAGTAATGGGAGCATGTAAAAAATCATCGTCAACAACATGGGAAGAACTAGGAGTAAGGTCCACGAGGGAGGCAACAGTTGAGTTCACGATGGTTGTAGTGTCACTGTAGTCAAGAATATGACGTTCTGGTACCTGAAAGTTCTGTCCATGAAAAGTAGCAAAATGGTCGGCCTTGTCCAAAGATATAGAAGGTGCAGCACCATCAACAAGAATAGGATAGGAGGGAGAGCATCGTTGACCTGTGAGGAGCTTAAAACGGTTCCAGAATTGCGAGGAAGAAGATGAGAAAATTGTAATCTTACAAGTTTATACGTGATACATCGAGGTAGCAATGCTTCATTTCACTGACTTTCTTTCGGGAAATTCTACCTATCATCAGTAAATTTGGACAAAAACTTCAAAACGCTAATAGTAGGTGACATATATATAACTAAACGTGGCAGGAATTTTGTTTGAAGGAAGATAAAACAAGGCGATAATTCCTTGTTCTTCCCAACAGGGGTGTTCAGGTACAATTGTTCCCCTTCAGCCCCGCACGTGGGAAAGTTTTGCCAGTTGTGGTTATTTTTTATTTCATGGACGTCAAAACCTTGTCGAAACGTCGTACATTTATAATAAAGTTTTTAATTATCCAGTCAAGCCGTTTAAAAACTTTTATTTTCTAAAAAGTTGGTTCTTCGTTATCATAGTTTAAATAAGTTTGCTGGGATTTTAAAAAATTAAAAGGGAGGTAGTAAGAAAAAATAATACCTTATTATTCCGCTGCAGAGCTACACCACCTTACAAAAACCACTGCCAAAGGTTCAAGAGCCACCTTATTAATGTTACAGATATTGATAATGATTTATTTTATAATAAAATATAGCCCTATCTTGTGAAAAAAAGTGTAGCTGAAGTAGCATTGTATTATTGATTTGTTTTTTAATTAACTGTGAATAACAACCAAGTTACTCCATGAATATTTCGTTAACCGTAAAACAATCTTATTTCGCGTTTTTCTATAAACCTGATGTTAAAACATGGTAGTGCAGGAAGTGGGGGAAATCGTAATGTTAATGTTCGTTATTCATGTACCAATAATAGGTTGTATTTGAATAATAATTCTGTATAATGGATCTAAATATTATTATTCAGCCTATTGATGGGCCTAGAGAAGAAGAAAAAATATCAATTCAGAAAGTAAGAATGGCTATAAAATGTAAGTACTGTTATTAACTGATTAAGACACCAGACTACCCAAACCAGAGAGGTAGAATGCAAATTTTCTGTTTAGGCCTAATTGCAATCGGGTCGGTATGTGTCTGTTTGTGTTTCCGCGCGCGTATCTCGAAAACTTATGAACCGATGTACACGAAATTTTACAAAAGATGGGAAGTCAATATGGGACATTTCTCCCTAAATTTGATCCGGATTCTGGGTCACTTTGAAGCATTTTTTATAATGGGGAGATAGGGCATTTTTGCTGTTTTAGGTTAAAACTGTAGAGTATGATCGGATTTGTACCAAATCTCATGGGTACATTAACTTAAGGTTGAGACTCCTCAGCACAATATAAAATATGATCCAGATCTTTGATCATTCTGGATTTGATAAGGATTTTCGATGGTGAAATTTGACGTTATGCAATATAAACACACATAAACTCGGTGGAGTAAGGGTATGCAATCTCTCTGGTTGTGCATGTTAGAAATAGAATTTAGTAAATTGGTTAGCCCAAAAATTCATTCTCTGCATTTGTTGGCATGGTGTAAACTAATGTCAGTGTAGTAAAAGAAAGTATACTACTTTAAAAGTTAAATGGTCCAAACTGTTTCATGCATTAGTTCTGTTATTAAACATTAAAAATATATTTTTTCCTTTTAATTCTTCAAGTTTGCCATTATCAAATTCAAAGTTCAAGACAACTTGTGGAATCAGACTGTAATATTTGGTGTGCATAGGAAACATGCACATTTTATTGCTGCATAAAAACAACTATGTATATTTTTTAATATTGACTTGTAATCCACACAACACTATATTTCCCATCTCAGTTTTCTTTCTGCTAACTACAGTTGTGTATGGTAATTTGCAAATAAATGCTCCTTTACACTAACTGACCCTCATTGTCTCAGTGGTAAGCCTGAAGACTTGTAATGCTAAAAACTGGTTGCTGTACCCACTATGGATATTGAAGCCTAATTTTTAGTGTCCTAAGCTATCAGACATTCGGTTGAATCATTGGAGGCCTAATAAATTATGAATCAACTTTCAAACATTTTATTGTCATGTGGTAATAAATTAACCAGTGATGAATTATCCATATAATTGTTTGTTCAGTTAGCACATTATGAGACTATATATATTATCATGTCATCCAGAGCCTGAACTCTTAAATTTACCCTTCTGTATAAGTTGTTTCAACTTAGAAGAATGCTAAATAATTATAAACAAATTATATTTCTAAAATGTATTACAAATGAATTTGAAGAGAAAAATAACAACTGATTTCTGCTGAATCAAAGCAGGTCATTGCTAAGGTATAAAAAAAAAACAGAATTAATAAGGCAAGATTTACCCTTGGTGAACCCATGTTGGCTTTCAGTTATATCACTCTCAAAAATATATCCTTTCACTATTGGAGAAGGAAGACTAACTGGCCTATAACATCTGGGTCAACTCTTATCACACTCTTGAAAAATACTAAAGCAGTAACTCTCCATTATTTAGCAAAGAATAAAAATGAAAGAGAAAGGCTCACATATGTGATCTCTGACCTCCTTTAAAACCATGGGTTAAACCTTCTCTGTCCCTAGTGCTTTAGCTATTTTTAACTATTCAACCTTTCTGTTTAGACTGTGGGATTAATATCTACAATTTAGACCAGTTCTAATATTTCCTATAGAATACTCAGGGTAAGGAACATTGTAAACATCTTTTCTTGTGAAAACTATAAATTCTTTTTAGCTCAACCTGTTGCAAAACACTAAAACTAATTATGAGCAATGATCACTCTTCCGTAAATGTTCCTTATCCTCATTAGTGGTTAAAAATATAAGTGAAATCGCATCCTTCCTCATTGGTACAAAAACTATCCTGAACCACTTCATGAAATCTCTCTCTCTCTTTCATCATTTGACTACATACAATCTTAATTAATATATCTAAAATTAGTCTTGCATGGTTTATTGCATCAGTATTCTTATTACTAAGAGTAAGATCTCATTTCATTTTCGTTTGGTTGTTTGTTTTTGAAAGATGATACTTGTTGTTTGAACAATAAAAAAAAGTGTGGACTTAAGTTTTTCAAAAGCATTTTATAAGGTGCCACTGAAAGAAGTAGCAAAGAAAATCACATTGGTAGGGTTGTGGTAAAAATTAGTTAATTAGATTGTATTTTGGTTGGATGAAAGCTAGAGATTTTTTATTGCTGTCATCTGGTCAAAGAGGACTGTTGCTACTAATGGAGTGCCTCTGTGGTCAGTGTTTGGGCCTTTGCTTTTTCTTATTTTGATTAATGACACTAATCATTGATAAGGGCAAAATCAGTAAAGTTTCATGATAACATTGGACTTTTGGGTAATTCTAGTCGTATTAAGGATGGTACAGGTTATCAAAATTTGGATCATATATTGGTCAGGTTATCAAAATTTTGATCATATATTTAATATAGATAGAAACCCACTAAGTATTGTGACTCAAGAAAATGATGATCTTGGCATAGTTGTAGATAAGTCACTCAACCCATTGAAACAGTGCTGTATTGGTAGTGATAATTTTGATAGATGTTTATGTTATTGTAATTATTTCTCACAACAATAACTCGGAATACTATGTACAGTTATGTTTTCCTTATCCAATAAGGAATACTAACTCGAGTGAGAAAGGTTCAGAGAAGGGCTACTAGGATGATAGAAAGATTATCTGAAGATTGAATAAGATAAAGGCTTCTGATTTCTTTGTACTATATTCTGAAGATAATAGGACCAGAGGACAGAAGTTTCACAAATAAAAGTACATTTAATTAGCTATACTCATTGAAAGTTTGATTTTTAGTTTTGCTCTAATTATGTAGCTTGTTTTGATCAAAAGTTAATATTATGAAAAAAAAGGCTAGACTCTAGTAACAACTCGGATCTTCTAACAAGGTGATTGGCTTATGATATGTGTTGCTGTCAATAGCAGTGGAGGTCAGCCGTTTACAGTAGTTTAAGAGAAGAATAAATGACTTCTTAAAAATTAATTAGTGGGTTTAAATTTTCACCTTTCTGAATGGTGTCTGTGCAAGGAAGTCTTGAAAGACAAAATTGTGAAGTAATGATAGTAAGAGTTGTGTTCTCATTAAAACAATATACATTAACAGTTGTTTTTTTTTATCTTGATAAGCTTGTCTAAGGACTCGTATGAATCTGGTATTTGGCGATCTGGAGCTGTATTTATATAAGTAATGCATATTACCATGCATTCGTCATTTTACCTTGTCAGTTTCCCCTTTCTCTTACATATCCCTTCAATAAAAAACAGATATCTTAAACAAAAAAATGCATATTTTATCCTGTTGTACTAATTTACTTGTTTTAATAGTCCTGAAATATTTAATTTCAAAATACAAGATTATTCTAAACTTAAAAACATTTTTTGTGACAGAAACATACTTGAACCCTTTATATAGGTGATAGGAATTAAAACATACATATTTTGTTTCAAATGTTTGGATATGTCATGAAATATTGAGAGCTGTCATTCTAAGATGTCATGATTGAAAGTAAGCAATGTATAAAAATATGTCAACCACACTGTATCTGCTATATCCTGTGTCGACAGGCCTTTTGCCCATTACCAGTACTTATCAGGCTGGCCGAGATACAACAGGCTCAGTAAGTGCCTGAGATGTTATTTATGTTATCAAACTGCATGAACAACAACTGTTATGATGTGAAGTGGATTATGTAGTGAAGAATTGACAAAACATAAGTAAAGACACAAGTAGGGTTAATTAGTTAGTGAGTACAATTTGACTTTTCCATTTCTCTTTAGATTGAAAGCTCATTCCCTTTCTTTCTTTAATTAGGTGGTATCAGAATCATTAAATATTTTATCACATAACTAAGGCCTCTCTAAATTTCTCAGACATAATTACATAATTTTACACTTTATAATACTAGCAGTTTTCATGACTTTGACTACTCATTAAAACTTAATTTACATTTTCAGCATTGTATCTCATATTCCATGCATTTGCTTAGTCACTGTCAGCCGTTTTGAATAATGAAAGTGGCCTATATAGGTTAAGCCCTTAACAAATTTTTTGTGTCACAAAGAAATAATATATATATATATTACAATGTCAACAAAAAAAGTTCATTATTATAAACATTAAAGGTTCCAAAAACACTCCTGTGAGCCCTGCTAATCGCATTTTGCCAATCAGGAAAAACAAAATGATTGTGCAAGTGCATTCCTCCACTTTTAAACCCTCTACAAGGATAGGTTGAAATAACAAGTCTAGGGTTCATATGGTGGTGTTGTACATGTTATATGTATGATACTTTGAGTTGTCTTTTACTCACTACAGTTTATATAAAATTTTAAGACTATGTAGCATTGATGATACGAATTTATTCTTCTGAATTACTTTTAACACTTTTCTACTGAGAAAATGTTAATTTATTAGCATTTGTTCAACTTAAGAGTTTCAATTAAATGTTTCAGTAATTAATTTATTGAAAAGAGGTGTATATATATATATAAGGAAATGAAGAAAAAATAGTCAAAAGACTATGAAAGTCAAATCTTTCAGTGCTATAACATTCAAAGAATGAAAATCTTTACCTTGCAAATATAGCCAAAAAAAAGTAATTGTTTATTATTTCACATATAAAACAATCAATTTTTACTTCTACAGTAGGTTTTGAAGTTGTAGCCCTGAATGTGATCGTTGATGGTCAACAAATGGAAGGAAAAAATTTGAAGGTAAGAACAACTGTTTAACACACATTAGTGAAATATAAGAAGAAATTTGAAGGTAAGAACAACTGTTTAACACACATTAGTGAAATATAAGAAGAAATTTGAAGGTAAGAACAACTGTTTAACACACATTTGTGAAATATAAGAAGAAATTTGAAGGTAAGAACAACTGTTTAACACACATTTGTGAAATATAAGAAGAAATTTGAAGGTAAGAACAACTGTTTAACACACATTAGTGAAATATAATTTCTTCTTATATTTCACTAATGTATGTTAAACAGTTGTTCTTACCTTCAAATTTCTTCTTTAACACACAGTAGTAAAATATAAGAACCCCCTCCATCCCAGGCACCATTCTGGTAACTCTTCTCTGAACCCTTTCCAACAGTTCAATAGCTATCCTAAGATATAAAATACACACTCTAAGGTTTTAATTTAATTTTTAATAAATTAAGTATCGTGAAAATTTTTCACCTTTTCCTTTTGATATATTTTTTGTTTAACAGTAAAAAGTTGTTGTAAGTATAGGTAAAAAATGTTCTTACAGGCAATACTCTTAATGTGTAGAAACAAAGAAAGGTCTATTCACTTATTAGTTGCACTTTGTCCAGACTTGTTCTAGACGATACTGTATTATGTGTTCATAAGGTGTTTACCACAGGGTTATGTGTTGTATTTATAACTAAGCAGTTACTCAAACATTTTCTAACCAATTAATGGAAATGATAATCATATCTGATTTTATTTATTAAGCAAATGGATTTTTAACCAACATAAAAAAACTAGTAATTTTTGGAATTCTTCAAGTAGACTAAATGTAAAGTCAACAACATAAAAGAATAAAATATTTGAATAACATCAGTAAAACTTTATAGTTATAACTTCATCTTACAGAGTTTGAAAACTATTAGGGAAGGAATGTGGCAAGAAAATCTTATTTGGATAATACTGTATTATTATGTTAACTAATAAAAACAATTAATAGTTTCGGTTTGAGTTTACTTACTGAGTAAGTATTATTACAAGAAAAATCTTCCTTACCGTAAATGCTGGAACTTGTAATAAGATAATCAAAACAATATTTGATTCCTCTACATTAGCTGCATTAATGTTTCATTTTTACAATGATAGTTAACGTTTTAAAAGTTAACTGTACATCACTGTAACCAAATTTTCACTATTTTTTACATGAAAGAAGATGCTTCAGTTATAATAATAAAGTACTTTGGATTAATGAGTGTTGACTGTATAGTCCTAAAGTAACCTCAGTAAGTTAAACAAAGTAAAATAACATTAATGTATTCTATAGATAATTAGTTGAGTTGAGTTATAATCCAGCAATTTCAAAGCTTGTATCTTTATTTTTGGTAATGTGACCGATGTGGAAATAAAAAAAAAGTTTAAAAAAATTTCAAAAGTTTTAAATTAAATAGTTATAATTATTTATAATCATATTTATAAAAACAATTGTAGCAATTGTTTATAAACAGGATGTCTGTTTTGAAAAATGTTTTAAACAACCATTACTCATACAGTTAAACAATTTGTATTTTCTCTTATTTTAGATGTGAACAATCTGGAAACATCTTTCTCACAAGAATTCTAACTTTTAAACAATAGAAAATCAATTCTGTAACAAATAAATGTGGCGGTGTGTACATCTTTTACAAGCCGGCAAGGAACGATTACAATTACATTTGTAATAAGACATTAGTATTAGGCCTATTACATTTTTAAACACTACATTCTTAATTAGAAATGCTCAAATGTAATTGTTATCATTCCTCACCAGCTTGTAAAAGATGTACACACCATAACAATTGTTATTGTGTCAAGTGACTTATATAAATACTGTTCTTACCACTGCTGTGTTTGTTTTATCCTAGTTGGTCTGAAGAGCTCTGGATTGAGTGAAATGCTTTGACTATAGATGTAACAAATATATTGTGGTTGGAATACTATTATACATTCTTCTAACTCTTGAAAATCCCTAAGGGTCTAGATTAAGAATGTAGTATTTGAAAATGTAATAGGCCTAATATTAATGTTTTATTACAAACTATTAACTGTTATAAGAGCTTCAGGTGTTTGAAACAACTCTAACTTTGATGAAAACAAATCTCTAACATCTAATACACATTGTTATAGTATCTGGAAAAAGTCAAGGCATGAAAATCTATCATGGTAATGTGTAATTCATGTTTATATTATTGTATTAGTTTAGAAATAGCTAATTATTGTCTAAGGCCTTGACTGGATTGCTGTTGATTTCAGGAAACCTCAATAAAGCTTTTATGGTAATTAATAGCCCAATCAATTAGAAAAATATCTTGCTTCACAAAATATGTATACTAGCAAGGATAGTGACCTTTAGAACTCCTCTGTGGCTACATGTCTTGGTACTTCTGCACAAGGTATTGTATATTTCTAAAACTGTTTTTAATGTTCAGTTATGTAACACAAATACATTATGCTGCTCACACACTTTAGCATTCAGTGCTTCATTCAGTAAGTATTTCAAGACATTTATTTAATGGTTTAGATTATTATTGTGTCTGTTTAGTTACACAGTTTTTGTTTTAGCAATCATTTTAGTTGTAATCCTATTTGGGGTTATATATGCTTATTTTATCTTAACATGCTTCCTGGCGCTCTTAAAAATTTGGCATTGGCTATATAAAAAAACATTTCTAAATAATAGAGACTTTTATGAAGGTTGTTGAACAGTTCTTCTCAGATAAGTTAAATATATATTCTTACTGGACCATTAACAAACTAATGTATGGAAGTAAAGATTTAAATCAAGCACATAAATGTTCAAAATGCAGTCAAAGAAATAAAAGATCAAATTAATTACAGGAAAGGAATGTTACAAACTTAAAATGTTTAAACCTTAAAAAAATTGTAATCAGACAATCCCTCAAAAATGCTAAAATTGATATGTCTTACAACACTGTAAATTTTCAGTTAGCTATCCAAATTTGTTAGCTTACTTTACTCTTAATTTGTTCAATCTTAATGCTATCTCGGAGGTCTTCCTTTTCTTGTTAGCATTCTGTAGAACTGAAAATTGTGTTGTGATATTGAAAGCTAGGCTTAACGAAAAGTATGTTTTTAACTGTTTGAGTGAATAATATGCATGTATATTAAATACATTTATGAATTCTTATTTGTTTTAGATTCCAGAACCTCCTGTTATTAAACTTGGGGACTTTGAAATGGCTGAGGTGAAAGTTGCAGGAAAAACCTTTCAAGTTAAAAGCCGTTTAACTTGTGTTGTCAGTGACACCAACCAGTGCCATCATCTTGTAAGTAAAAAATGTGACACGCACAATGATTCTTACTGTATAATAACAAGTATTTATCTCTGTTTCCGAGTAAAGAAATATCTATAAATTTTATTTTGTGAGTTGGAATATATATTTTTTGTTTTTCTTAAATAAAATTTTATCCTAAGTTATTCTTACTTAGCTATAGTAAATGTTACCAATTATATGCAAACGTTAAACATTTGTTTTATGGCACTAAGTTTTATGTTGTTTGACAAAGTTTAAAAAAACAATAAAAAGTGATTTGATTATTAATAGCCCACTAAAATCCCTTGTTGACAAGAATGAAAAGGAATCATCAGGTATCAGCAGGGGTCTACAAATGAATCACCCTATAATGTGAGGATGAATGTCTACTGGTGACTTGGTGGTGCAGTTGCTAGAGCATGAACCTCCAAGCACTACTATAGATGTAGATTCAAGCACAGGCTGTGGATATTTCTTAGTTAGTAGTAGACATATAATGTTTATTTTCTGGGTGAATACGTGTCATACATTACAATGTTTATTTTCTGGGTGAATACGTGTCATACGTTACAATGTTTGGGTTACATCCTATTTCACATAAAATAGCTATTTCTTTTTCTAATTCATCAGTAGTTAATGTGCTTTTGATAGCATATGACACGTCTTCACCCAGAAAGTAAACATTGTAACATATGACGTCTTCACCCAGAAAATAAACATTGTAACACAGGATATATCTTCACCCAGAACATTAACATTGATAATGCATGACACACCTTCACCCAGAAAGAAAAATTGCCTAAGGGGGTATGAAAACTGTGAAGTTAATATAATAATCCGCTGGCAAATAAAGAATAATGAAGTAACACAAGAAACTGGAATCTTGAAAGTATGCAAGAATTTAAATTTAAACTATGGGAAAATTCAGTTTTTTCTAATTTCTTTCCTGTTAGATAAATTGTTGAAGTTAACATGTCATCAAAGCAAGTGTTAAACTAGCTGAATGATGTGTTTACGTTAAAGAAAAGCCGTTTGTTGTAAGTTTAGAAAATTGATAATTTTAAATATTTAACAATGCTTGGTAATTACAGATAATCTTTGATAAAAAATTATTTTGAATAAGTTTATTTAAAAACATAAGGATCAGATATATATTTTATGATATCCACTTACTTCATAGGGCTATAATTGTCATGAAAAGTTTGTTTTTCTAATTATATTTTACACAGGCACAAACAATTTTATTCAGCATTATTCTTATCAATGTTTAAGTTATGTTGAATCTCATATTTCTTCTCTCTTTTTTTTAGACTCGTTCACCACTTGCTAAAAAATATGATATTTTGGCTGTTCAACCAATGAATGAAAAGATTTTTCAGGTAACCCATATTGAAAATTCCTTCTGGTTAGTATTTATTAGTCAGTAGCAAGTTAATTTAGAATTCCCAATTTTTCCAAACATCAATACAAATAGTGAAACCAGATTACAGAAATTATGATTTTTCTGATTTATTCCAGAAATCCCTAACTTTTGAACCTCCATAATGATGTTTTTTTTCCAAGTTGTATACTATTGATAAGAACTTCTGATTGAAAGTGTACAGTAATATGTCAACCACATTCTACCTATTACATCCAGTGCTGACAAGGCCTTTCAAGCAGTGCCAAGACTTTTCATAACATTTGGGCTACGAGAGACATAGTTGAAATGATATTTATAAGTTCACACTTTAACAGTCTCTACCAAACAACCTGCTATGGATTAAGTTTGTGAAGCATAATTTTTCATCTGTTTTATGTTCACACCTACGCACAAAACAGTTTGAGTTTCCCTAATAAATACGATTCAACATAACAAAATACAGAAGCATAAAATAAATTTGCTATGTTATGCAAAATAAAAGCAAAAAACTGCAATGCGTGGTTATGAAATATGAAAAAGCTGTACTTAGTTATTTGTGTTTGATATGAATAAAATGTTAAGTAACATTGTTGTTTGACTCATTTTGTACACTTTCATTTGTTCACTGTTCTCAGAAATAAAATTAATTTATGAATCAATCTCAAGTAGAAAGTTTAGGATCACAAATTATCCATTACAAAGGTTTTTGAAATATAGAGAAGATGTCTGATTTTACCTCAGCCTCAGGTATAAATGTTAACTGTTTGCATGCAATAAAAACATCTTGTATGTTTTTGTTGTTATCCATTTATAAGTTATAGAAAAATATGACGGTAATTAACTTGTATAGCGAAACAGTATGTGGTTAAAAATCTATCTTTTGTCACTGTACTAAGGGTTGTCCAAAAAGTCTAGAAAAATAGGCATTTTAATGAATTTTACAGAATGTGTTCCACACACTGCTCTTGTAATTCAAAACAAATTTGGAGATGGTATTTCAATTCTTTTTGAACACTGTGAAACGTATTCATGTCATTGTAAATGGTTCGACACTCGTCTCATTAAATTTATCTAGCAACTTCCCCACAGCACTGTGAGTAATGTTTTTCTCTCTTTCTGGATGGCGTGTATTAAGTTTGGCAGCAACCTTTTCTGCCACACAGCATGATTAACTTGAGCTTCTCGTGCTCTGACAGTGCCATAATCAGTCATATGTTTAAAAGCTGCAAATCATCTATAGTTCCAGACTTTTTGGACACCCTGTATTCTAATCTTTAATTAAATAAATTGAAAACGAAACTTGTTGGTTTTCCACGTACATCAGCTGTTGTAAAACAACAAGACTTTTTTCAACAGGTATACTGGTGAACATTCTACATTTAATGTATTAAAGTTTAATTAATTTTACTGTTTTTCAGCATGTATGCGGAAATATGGAGGTGGATATCATCTGTTTAGATTTAGCTTCTAGGCTACCATTTACTCTTAAACGAGAACAGGTGGGACAGGTAAGATTTGAAGTGTACGTGTACTACCCTATCGCAGTTATTGGACACTCATTATTATGCATCCCCTGTCTTTAAGATATAGCTAAAGATGCTTGTCTTTGTTCAGCTCCACCTACTGTCATTTAATCATAAAACTTGATAATATTTATATTTTCTGATCTTTCACAAAACTTCCTTTCATTTTGTAATTCAGAAGAAAAAAAAAAGTAAATTAAAATGGATTATAATTGTTAATTAAATACTGGTCTTTGGAGGGTGCAGTTCATTGAGCTCCTTCATAAAATAGTTTTGTGTACATAGTATGTTGTGCTTTGTTAGAGTAATACTACTGTCTGTATTAATGTGTAAAATCTAGGTAATGTGAGATTACTTTGTGTATTCTGTTTATTACGTGTACGTAATCAAAGATAGTGTAAAATGTTTTATTAAATTACACTAATTTTTACAGGAAACGTGTTTGAAAAGTCTGAATATAAACAGCCTAAAGTATCATTAGTTAGACTATTTTATATTTTTATCAACAGTTAAAACTAGAGATTAAACAAATAGTATGTATAAATTCCTCAGCTACCTTTATCAACTGTCTGTCTAAGTCCTAACTGCTTACTTCTAAATAGTAATTACTAAAGTTTTGCAGACATAATTGTTTAGTATCTGAAGATGTGCTTGTTATGTAATAAAATTCTCTTCACTGTTCCGTTTTTCTTTTTTATTTCCGTTAAAAACTAAATATATTGGGTAGTCATCTTGCAGTTGATTGTCACGTGTGTCTTTTGAATACTTGATTATGTTTACTCAAAGAGTAAGTTAAAAAAATGTGTTTATTGATAGTAATATCTTACATCAGGTTAATGGTTCCCTATTCTTTTACTTTATAGGTTTATCTTATGTCATGAATAGCAATATTCTTCAAAATATACACAAAGTAACAGTAGACTTAAATGTTCTTCAATGATAACTTAGGTTTAGATGATCAACATAGACTACTCATAAATAAGACAAAGAATGATTTTTAATCAAATTTACACACATTTCATCTACATATAATTGTAATAAATATAATAAGAGCTGGACAGGACATCCAGCAAAGCACCGGTTAAACCAAGGTCAAGAAAGCAACATTAAATATTTGGTACATATAAACAACCTTGGTTTCATTCTTCTTTCAGGCATCTACTAGAGGAATGTTCTTTGAAATTCAATATGCTCCTTGTTTGAAAGATCGGATTGCAAGAAGGAATACGATATCCAACAGTCGTATTCTAACTCAGCTTACAAACAAAGTGGTATGTGTGTGTAACACCTTTTGAACTTTGTCTTCCTCTGTTACCAGTAAAACCGTGTAACACTTAGCAGATATTATCACTCACCTACTGGTAAAACGGTATATCACATCACTCACCTACTGGTAAAATGGTATATCACATAAGTATTTCTCAGCTGTAAAACTAATCTAAAACGTACATTTCTTTTATAGATTTGAAACTTGTGATTTCTGTATCTTAGCTTTTCGTTATACTCAGATGTGTGGGTAAAACCTTCATTATTATTATGTGCTTTGTATCTTACAGCTTGAAAATAGGAATAGATTTGGAAAAATAAGAGTGATGTTAATATACATAGAACGAACATTCTTTGTAATGCATGGAACTAAGCTTATGTTACTCTTACATTTAGTAAAGCTGTTGCTACCATTTGAACCTACAAGATACAGATCTACAGAAAGAGTGCCATTCTAAGTATTTGATGGTACATGCTGTTTATTTTGGTAAAATAAGGTGTATACCTATATGGAAAGGATTGAATAGTCAACATGAATAATGATAATTTGAATGTACTCTATGTTTATCAAGGTTAACAAAACCAAGCTGTTTTTTATCTGTTAAGTACAGTGTAGGGCTGGGCTGGGCTATGTATGCCAGACTGTGAATCTCAAGGTCCATTTTCCAGGTCTTGCTGCCACAAAATCACTCTCTGCACTTTAGTGCTATAGCTGTGTTATAGGAATGATTGTCAGATCCCATAAGAGTAGCTCAAGAGTTGGCAATAGGTGTTATTGACCAGCTGCCTTCTCCACTCATCAGTTCAAAATTAGGGATGGCTAGCACAGATATCCCTTGTTTAGTTTTGCATGAATATCTGAAACAAACAGAAATACAATGTAAAAGAGCTGTATATATTTGCAACAAATACCAATTCTCTTTGAAAGAGTTTAAAAATGGAAATAGTAGTCAGTATTGGAGGAGAAAACCAAAGCTTAAAGATATAAATTATCACTTGCTTGATGAAAATCATTAATATTAGAGTAACAACATAGAACAACAAATATCTGAAATTTGTGTTCAATTTAGTGTTTTAGTTTTAAGGAACTTGTTACATTAGATATCATATCTTACTGAATAACATTATGTAAGTTAGGTAACATCAGACAGAAAAGCAGGTTTTATTTGCCATATTTATTAAACATTCCATGAATTATCTACGTGTATGCATGTAAAAATTGTGAGCTTTCAAGTTTAAAACTTTTTTTAGAAATATAACCAGTGATTATAAATATAAGCTAATTTTTTTCAATATGTTAAGTTTTATTTCAAACTAGACATGAACTTTTGGCATAAATAACATGTTTTTTGTTGTTGTTTTTTTTCAGAATATTATTATTTCGAGTGGTTCATCGCAGGTTAGTGAAGGTTTCTACAAAAGCATAAATTTGTTTTTTTATAGGTGAATATTAAGGAAAAAGGAAATTTAAAAAACTTATAATAAAGTTTAGCTCTAGTTATGTTGTGGCACAGTATGTAAGCTTTAAATATTGTTTAATTGTTATTAGAATTATCTAAATTCTATTTTCAAAACAAAAGAAAATGTTTCCGTTTCACTATAAGAATGAACTTGTATTAACAATTACCAGTTGGATTCATGGCAATAATGAATAACATTACTTATGATTTTAAAATAAGTACTATATTAAAGAAATATCACACAAATTATCACTAGTTAAAAGAAAGTAATATTTATTAATATTTCCTGTGATTTTAGGTGATGGATCTGAGAAGTTGTTTTGATGCTGCTAATCTGTATCCTTTTGTTTGTGGAAACTATTATTTGAATGTTATAGAAGTTTGTAAACATGAATATTCATGTTACATCCTTTTAATGCATTGTTAAATAAAAGAGGAAGAACTATAAGTTGGAAAGTCATCACAAATCTGTGGTATGATTAGTTTTCAGTTTACTTGATTCCTTTGTCTTTATGCCTACCTCCAGCAAAATATATTAAGTATTAAAGGTTCTGTACGTTTAAGAAAACAGTTTACTGATCAACGCTTATGATGTTACATCACATGAAGGCTGATGATAATATTTAACAAATCTGTCTACTGGTCTTACGCTACAGGTTTCAAGTAAGAATAATACAATAGCATCTCAACAGAAGAACATGATAGCATCTTGACCTAGCATTCGTTCATTACATGCCACTGCCGACAATGCCATTTGTTCAATACCAGAGTTCATCAGGTTGGCTATGAATGCAATGTACAAAGTCTGAGTTAAAATGCTCTTTGTTAAAAATTATTAACAGTCATGTGATTTAATATCACACAAATAACAATCAATAGATCATGCTTTACCAGAATAAGGACTAGTATACCATAATAATTTATATACGTAAGTTTTTCTTGTTGCAAGGTCATAAAACAGTTGTAAGTAACTGTGTAAACTCTTTCAGCACAGGCTCAATCCGTGGGACTAACCTCGTAACCATTTTTTGCTTAATATAGTTTTCAAGCTATGACTTTTAAATTAATAGGCATATCTTCACGAAATATTGCAGATTATCAGTAAATGTTACAAGGCTTTTGTATGCAAAATATCAGATTTTTTAAGTAATGTTTTTCTCATGCCTTTTTTGTTTACATGTGTTGACTATCCAACATGCAAAGAAATTTTGATTTTAAGATTAAAAATACTTTTATGCATCAGATAATTTTCAAATTTCATGTGCAAAATCTTTATAACATCCAGATAATTATCAAACATTTCTTAAGAAAAAACTGTATTTTCTGTTATTTCAACTAATGAATCTCTGTATGAGTTCGATCGATTTGACCGATCTCGTAACCACCGTAGAAAATTGGGAAGTAAATATAAATTATGCTTTTTTCGTTCTAGAATGACTACAGATTATAATATGAAAACACAAATGTTTAATCTAAATAGCTTAAATCTCATAACAATATACATTTATATATATTTATTATTTTTATTATATTGATTTTCCAGCCGTGCCTGGCTAACATTACAGAAGTTGCAATGAAGCAACACACGTGCATTTATGTTACTGTTTCTAAGAATATAAAACTGGCCTTTAGGCTATACAAAGTGACCTGACTTGGCTGTGTTTTAATGGACTAGTATTTTGTAAAATAGTCACATTTTAGGTATAATACATTATTACTATTTACAAATAAGTTCTTAAACTTATTTTACTTAAACCATAGAACAATAAATAAAGAAATATAGCAAACAATTATTTCTAGTCGTGGGAGG